GGTGTTCTTTTGTGCAATTTTTATTTTTTAGAGCGGAACTCCCTGTTCCGCGGGGGGGGGGATCGTCCGATCCACCCGATCCCCCCTGGTTACGGGCCTGTCCTGAGTGTGGGAAGGGGGTGCTGCATGCAGTTTGACTGTTTCCTACGCTAGCGCCGCTCTCGGTCGCTAGAGGAGGTTACAACCGCAACTAATGGCAGCCCCCATAGAGCTCCAAAGTGATGACGTCACGGTGGCATGACAACGAACCTACTGGTTCTACACAATCATATGATCTGGTAACATTAACTGTGTGTCGTGTTTTGTACCCGAATGTAACCATCATTCTGAGAGTAATTATTGCAGTTTTTATAGATTTCCAAAGGATGGAAGTGAAAAGCAACAACAACAAAAAAACAAAAAAAACAAAAAATTTATTAATTAAATATTCTACGATCGACTTGCTACCGATGCTTTACCGCTGTCTGCAGCGCACACACTCGTGTTTTACGTACGTACAACATTTTCGCGCAGTTAATGTTATGGAGCCAGTGGGTTGTGTAGAACCAGTGGGTTCGTTGTCATGCCACCGTGACGTCACACTTTGATACTCTACAGAATCCGGCGATCAGTGAGTAATTGCTGCGATACGCTACAAAACACTGTACAAAACACACATGAAACTCACAGAAAGACATTACAAACATAGAACCGATTACAAATACAACATTTAATCCCTCCAAGGGCAAGCTCAACACGGCAACCGGTACCACCGCCACAGTATGTACAGTGTATCATGCCGGGTATATGTTTTGCTATTTTATAAAACCAAAAGATCATCCGCTGACCGCTGTGGATATAGTGCAGTGGCCGAAGCTGAAAAAAAGCTCTATTTAAGGAGATACCCCTACCGGAGGTATAACAAGCTGGGACTGGTCTCATTTTAACCGTCTGGATCCCTAATTTATGAAAAGCCATGTTGTAGTTGCAGCAACCTTGGCCAACATGCCGAATTAACCCCTTTTTTACGGTGAAATCTAAAAAAATGACATTTTCAGTTACCTGATTATTTTATGAAATCAGCCCCATTATATTTTAGAACTGATGGTTATATCAATGTATTTCATTGAAATAGATATGTAGCAATGTATTTGAGGCAGTTTTATTATTTTCAGCTCGTGGACAGATTATTGGTTTTTGTTACTCTGATTTCCAACAGATGGCAGGCACTACCTACCTAGAAATTGAACAGGGACAGTCTATATTACAGCATGCTTGCTCAAAACAAAGCAATTTTATTTCAGGTAAGATGGACCGCACTGAACCCCCTGAGAAAAGGAGACGAAAACTCAGCGATGACAACTGTGTGATATGTCGTCGCGCCTTGGATACAGACAGTCCGTTTGTAAAAAACCCAACACTGGATGGAATCAAAGCGGTTATTCATGCTGCAGAAATTCGTCAAGATGATGTACACGAACGGCTAGCTGTGCTCAAATATGACATTTTAAACCAAAATGTTACAGTTAGATACCACACGAAATGCCGAGCTCGCTATACAACTGCAAGTAATCTAAAGTACTTACAAAATGTGCCTGCTAGTGCAACCGTGGGTACAGCAGCTAGTGACATTGCTGAGAGTGGACCAACTCGGCTTCGGCGAACTGAAACGTCTACATTTAACATAAGAACAGCCTGTTTCATCTGTGGGACATCAAACACTAAGAAAGAAAAGCTGACTAACATTACTACTGGCACTGGGGCATCAACCCATGATCGTATAATCGCAGCATCTTTGGAAAGACTAGATGACATGATTCACATGCGGATGCTGTCATATCAGGACTTGTTCGCTTATGATGCGAAATACCACAGGTCATGCTACAGTCGATACGTTTCACCAAGAAATATCAAGGCTGAACGAGCCAAGGCAGAAAGACAGAAGTCCCTGAATGATTACGACAAGGCTTTTCTCTGCTTGAGTGAAGAAATCGAAAGTACCGTACTCTCAAGTACCAGAAAGCTTGTCACCTTGTCCTCCCTACATGAACGATTCATTGAGATAATCAATGAAGGCAGAGAGTCAGGCATAGAGTCCGGTGACTATCCCTCATGGAAGCTTAAAGAGAAGCTGAAGAAACATTTTGATGTTAAACTATTGTTCATAGCCCAAGCAGGCAAGTCCGATCTTGTTTGTTCCAGAGAGGTGAGTGTTGGTGATGCACTGAAGAAAGTTGCTGCACTGAACATCGAAATCAATGAATCCGGTAAATGTGAATTTACCAGTGAAGATGGAAGTGATGTGGATCCGGATAGTGTCGTCCTTCATCGAGCTGCTGGTATCATTCGCAGTGCAATGTCAGGGATAACCTTTCAAACTAGCCACTATGCTCCAAGCGGAGACTTGAATGTACGACAATGTAAGAACTTTGTTCCAGAGACATTGTACGATTTCATAGCATGGTGCACCTCGAAGGAATCCTTTGACAATGTTAGACACTGTGACTCAAGTGATGCTGACATGAGAGTGCTTGGTATCTGTCACAGTATCATCTCTCGGTCCTGTAAGACGCAAACACCCATTACATTTGGCCTTGGTGTTCAGATTGCAGCCATGGAACCGATGGGAGTAAGAAGCTTATAGACGTTCCAGTACAGTGGGGATATTCCGATATAACTATGATGACGTTGAGAACAAGTTCTTAACATCAGTAAGGCTCGTGATCAACACTTTCAGTACCATCTGAAGTGCGAGGTTTTCCTCCGAGGGGTTTCAGCAGTTTGATCCTAGACAACCTTGGATCGAGTCGTCTGATCGCTGGCCATCGAAACTTTGATGCATAATGCGGCGACAGGGTTGATGGGAAACGCACTACACATGCCATGGCTGTTGTGTTGTACCAACGATCTCCACTCAGTCATGATGTGTCCTTGATTCCTTGTACAAAACAGAAATCCTTGGACACTGCGCAGTACAAGGAACAACAACTCCAAGGCTACCGCAAGCCTGCAAAGAAGCCAGAGCCCACTGTAACCTATCAAGTGGAGGATGAAACGTCGGATAAAGTCATAATGAAAGATTTCATATGGCAAGTGGCAAGGACCTGTGGAGATGGTGAATCTAGCATTCCGGCGTGGAGTGGATTCAATGCCCTCGTCAGTACCAAGACTGTCCCCGTTACTAGGATACGATATCTACCCTTCATCAATGCCTCACCATCTGACTTGTCAACCATTTTTACCACTTTGTTGAGGCTAGTGCACATATCTGAGGAGTTGGGGCAGCATCACATACTCATTACTGCAGACCTTGCCATCTACAGCAAGGCACAGCAGATTCTGTGGAGCAGACCGGAACCACTGGTGGGCAAAGTAACGATGAGGCTGGGAGGAATGCATCTGATAATGGCTTTCCTGGCCAGCATTGGCAAGATATTCGGAGATGGTGGTCTTACGAACATCCTAACTTCATCAGATGTATACGCAGCTGCCACGGTTAACCAAATGCTCCAAGGAAAGCAGTATGCCCGTGGAATCAGAGGTGTCCGTCTTGCACACGAAGCACTGTCACAGATGTTCCTCACTTCAGCTGAATCTTTTGCCAACAAGAACGGATTGCCATGGCTGACCAATGAAACCAAGCAGCTAGTACGTGATCTTGAGCAGTCCTTCGAATCCAAAGATGCAAGTGAATGTGCTACCATTTGCCAGAAAGTCGAGGACACGATTCCCCAGTCCGTCTTGGATACAATCACTCTTTTTCAAAACGAAGGACGACAGCAATCGGCAACTTTTGCTTATTGGGATAGCTTTCTGGAGTCTGGGAACCTATTACTTCGGCTGTTGCGAGCAGACAGGGAGGCAAATTTCCTTATGCATATACAAGCAGTGACGGAAACTGTCTCCTATTTCATCCTTGCAGGACGCATTAACTACGCTCGATACACCCCTGTGTACATCGCAGAGATGAAGCAACTAGAAGAGAGGGAACCATAATGTATAACCACATGATGCAGGGGGGATTTGTTGTTCGAAGGTCAGCCAGCAGGGCTTTCAATTGTGTCCCAACGGATCAAGCCCTAGAACAAACAATCAACCGTGAAGCCAAGAGTCGGGGAGGTGTTATTGGTTTCACCCTGCGCAAAGGTGCACTGCTACGATGGCTTATGACGCGACACATCTCGGGCGAATACGCGGAGGCTTTCAAAGAACTGTGTAACTCTGGGTCAAATGAAAAACTGCATGAAGAGCTGGGGAGTACTCGTTCAAACAAGGACAGAAAGGATGTGAAGGTCATGAAGGAATACCTTCTGAGTCAGTGCCAGGATCCATTTGACCTCGTTGATGTTCCAGACAATCTAATGAACATCACCACAGGTCAAATAGCATCACGTGAAGTTGAGTTATAGTCGCCGTCGTGATGTACTATCCTTGCGTTGTGTTATTGTTCTTCATTCGTAGTAAATGTAAACTCGTATTAATGTCTTAGTTTATAAACCCAATTCGTTGTTCGTTTCGTGTTTGCGTTTCCGCTTGAATGATGTCAGCTTTTCTTTGTCTCTCGTGCGACGTAAGACGGTGACGATGAAGATCACAGTAATGATAACACGTCTTTGTTGTAACAGACTAGATAATTTATTCTACTCAGTGATTCCACATACAGATTATATGCGTCTGACTACACACTACACAAAACCCGCGGCTGAAATCTATCACCGCGTGTGGCGACATATGTATTTACTCCCAGCCTGAAAAGCGCTCTCTCTTTCTCTGTCGCGCCTACGCAGTTGCTTTCTTGATCGCGTGGCGATCAGTCACGCGCAACGAGTTTCTAGAATCGTCTACGAAACTATCGTCACGCACGACGAGTGACGTTCTCAAAACATCTACGGAAATGACGCAGTGCTTGCTGGCGCGTAAACCCGCGTTGCACGACTACAATGTAACAATTTAGCATTGTTGTAAACAGGGTTCGTGTACCATGTTGTACCCAGCCTTCACCATGATCAATGATACACCCAGACTGATGGATAGGCCTTCAGTCAGGTAGACCTATGATACTGTTGTACCATGTATTGGTGGCAGTATGCATGGAAACGTTCTTTATTATGGTCAAAATTATCAAAAATTGCCAGATTTGTTGGTATATTTTTGGGCCCTTAAAGGCTCACAATGCGCATCCAAACGCTAATTTCTCCAGTACTAGACTAGCAAATACTTCGTGTC